CCATTATTTCCATTATATTTTTGCTTACCTGAGATCTGCCTATCTATTTATCTGTTCAATTAAAGCGATACTGCAAGAGAGGAGGATCTTGGAATTGTTGTAAATCACAGACTGGGCACTCCAGTTTAAGAAAGATACAGGCAAGCTGGAGGGGTTCAGAGGAGGGCAACAGGGATGTTCCAGAGACTGGAAACAAAGCCCTAAGAGGAAAGATTGACAGAACTGGGCATGTTTAACCTTAAGAAGTCTGAGGGGAGATATGATAGCACTCTACAAGTACCTGAAAGGCTGTCACAAAGAGGAAGGTCAGGATCTCTTCTCAATCATCTCAGAATATAGGACATGGAATAACAGGCTCAAGTTACAGGAAGCCAGATTCCAGCTAGGTATCAGGAAAAATGTCCTGACTGAGCAATACAACAATGCAACTAATTGCCCTGGGAGGTTGTGCACTCTCGTACACTAGAGGCATTCAGGGTGCAACTGGACAGCCATCTGAGAGTGATGCATTAACTTGGTGTCCTACACTGAGCAGGGGGTTGGCCTCGATGGCCTTCTGGCCCCTATGATTCTATGGTAATAACACAATGGCAAAAAATGTACTTTGCATGTATAAAATGCTAGGTTCAACTAGTTAGGAGTAGAATATCAGAAGAGTCCTGCCAGATTTGACCAAAGACCTATTAGTGCAATATTCTGTTTTCCACATTGAGCAACCAGATGCCTCTGGGAAGCTCACAAACAGGGCATTAATACAACGGCAATCTTTCCCAACAATCAGAAATATGCTGCCTCTAATCCTAGAGAGCATAGCACTGTCATGACTAGTGGCCAATAATAGCCCTATCCCCCATTAATTTGTCTAATCTCCTTCTGAAGCCATCCAAGTCGGTGGCCACCCCTATATCTTAGGGTGCAAATTCTGCAAAGTTATACTTTAATATGTGAAGAAAGACTTTTTTGTCTGTCCAGAATCCTCTCAGCCCAATTCAATTTCATTGGGTAACCCTTCTTTTTCTCTACACTTTCTCCACACCTCTAACACATATGCACCTCTGTCATATCACTCACCATAACCCTCTCACCATTAATCACCATTTTCCTAAATAGCTCCAAGCATTATAAACTTTTCATGGAGCAAATGTGCTGAACTTACAGACTATTTTGATTACTCCTTTCCATCTCTACAGTATCCTTTTTTAGGTGCAGCGACCAGAACTGTATGCAATATTCCAGCCATGGTCTTACCACTTGCTGTTATGTATCATCAAGTCAAATCCAAGTTATGGCAACCTTACGAATGAATTCTTTCCAAAATGACCTGTCCTTGACAGCCCTGCTCAGCTCTTGTAAACTCAAGGCTGTGGCTTCCTTTGTGGAATCTTTCCATCCCATAGTTGGGGTCCCACCACAAATTTCTCCAAAGGCATTATAATATTAGCAGTTTTATTTTTGATTCCCGATACTACTGGGCCAAGGCCAGATGATCAGACTTAGTATAAGAGTGCTTCATCCATTCTTCATGAAATGCAATAAAATAATGAATTAAAATTATTTTGAAATATAGCTATATCCCCCAGCTGAATTCTATCTTGACACCTGGTCAAGAAACTCAGATTTGTGTTTCTCTGCCATAATACAATGATATACTAGTTCTGATTGGCTAAGAGGAAGCAAAGTTAAGTCAACTAATTCCCTTCAACCCAAGACAGCCACAACATTTTTGCTTTGAAACACAGGAAGTGAAGTATCCCAGTTGCTAACCTGAGAACTGGCAGATTATCATCGGATTTTGCCAGTCTTTCTGTATCACCCCTGTCGGCAACATTTGTTATGAGACATAATAATTCCACTCGGTTCTGTGTTACTCAGGGCACATTTGGAGTCCTGTATCCAGTTCTAGTCATGCCACTGACAAGATGAGGTGTGTGCAGAGAAGGGTAGCATGTGGTTATTAAGGCACTTGGAGAACGTTGAATTAAAGGAAGCTGACAGAAGCATTTGTATGAATGCAAGTTTTCTCAAATATGTCATGGTGCATGGGATAGCAATGATGAACAGGGTGCAATCAGTATCTTATTTGAAATATGCTATATAAACAGTTAGGAATAGGATTTTCCAAAGTGAATGACCCAACTGGACCTGGCAAAAAGAATAATGGGGCTGCACTTCCCAAATGAATGCACCGCAAAAGTGATGATTTAGGAGCCAGAAGGGAGAAGTGACAAGGGCACTATAGAAGTTGGACTAGGGAATGAAGCAGTCCAGAAGCAGGACAGGTGGGGAAGAGCCATCTGGTAGGGAGAAAACTGGTCTCCATATGTTTTAGACTTCATCTCTCAATGTTCCCGACCACTGGCCATGCTGGCAGAAGTTTCTGGGAGTTGAGATCCAAAATATCTGGAGATCTATTTTCTGCCCACCCATATGTAGGAGACAGACAACCCCTAATGAGATTTAATTGTCTGGGAAAGAGGATTGTAGAACATTCAGTAAGTATTGAAGTGCTGTGTTAAGGTGCTATTCAATATATTTATTTTAAAACTTATCAGGATGCAATTCTATGCATGTTTAGGCAGACAAAAAGCCCTACCACTTCCAGCACTCCCCATAACTGGCTGGAGAATACTGGAAGCTGCAGGACTTGCTTCTGTCCAGGTATGCATCTAATTGCTCCTTTAATCATCCTTTAATGTTTATATTTCTTTAAAAGACTACTGGCTTGCTGGAAAAGAGTGTATGCTGTGACAGCAGCCAATTCCCCTCCAGTTCCACTATATTCCCTAGCCCCTTCTGTAGCTAATACATATGCTCTATGCTCATCTGCAGGTCTTTTCCAGCAATCTAGGCTATTGTGCATATATAAGGGAGGGAGATAATAGCTAAGTTGCAGTGAGGGAAGCAGATGGCATATTAGCTCAATGGAATCTCTTACAATCTGTTCTAGGGACTTTGCTTAGCCAACCAGAATTCTCCAAACAGTTTTTTGGGGGTGGGTAGGAAATATCTGCATTTAGAAAAGTATCCCATCAGGGAGGTGGAGTTTCATTCCTTTTAGTATTCCCGGTTTTTCTTGATGTGCTTAGGTTCTACATTCAGAAGGTTATATCCAACTATTTTTTGCAGGGTGGGGCAAAAGGCATTCTCTCATGTTGCTCCTCAACTATGGAATGCAATCCCTATGGAGTTGTAACGAGTCTCTACTCTCCATGTGTTCTGGAAGTAGGTTGAGACACGTTTTTTAATCGAGCTTTTAATTTGTTATTTTGATTTTTAATGTTTTGCTATGTCGCGATGGGTCAGACATGACTTTGTGACTAAACAACAACCAAGAATGCCTCTGATTATGGATTCAAATGCTTCACAAACTGCCTTGGCTGATCCCAGAAAGGCAGTATAGAAATATACTAAATCACGTTTTAAAAAATTGAGGCTTTGCACCAATAGAAACCACTTCTGCCTGTGTGATCCTGGGCACCCTTTTCTGATACTCCCTGCAGCACACTGAGCCCTCCAAAAGATGCTCCTCTGGGTTGAGAGATACCTGAAATAGGCTGCAATATAGCAGAGAGGGCTGCGGTAGGAAAGGGGGGTCAGTGAAAATTGTATCTTGCATCTTATGCGAGCAGAATCACATTCTGGTGGCACAAAGCCATCATGGATACAACCCAGAGAAATGTGCGAGTGTGTCTATTAATGGGAGCATTCAATCTGCTGTTTGTAGTAGTAAAGTCTCTGCAGGCCTGTATCAAATCACAATTCTGCAAGTCTAGACCAACTCCTACGTTGGATCCCAAGGGAAGATTCCTGGCACTACCAATTAAAAGAACTTCCTATAAAATCCTGTGACTATGGCAGCGAGATTGCACAATTTTATGAGAAAAAACGCCTAAAACTCCCATCTTGCCCTAGCCAGCATAGGTGGCTATAAAATGCCAGGAGTTTTGGGACCTCTTTGTGCCTGAATAGGATTGTGCCCTTAAGGAGCTCATGTGGAAGCAACCTGAAAGACAATACCGATCAACAAATTAACCATCCTACATGCAACACGCTCTCCCTCCTCTTATGGGACAGTACGATGCCCCCTCTCCTAGGTTACCTCCTGCCACCCCCAGCTTCCTTTTCTTTATTTTTCCTGGGCAAGTGGAGCACACTTCAAAATGCAGTGCCGGGCTGCAGCCACTCACTGTTTTATTTTAAGAGCACTGTTTCAGAGAGCTTTTGTGGCTTAGGTGGAGCCCACCAGAATGCTTGAAAATGGTGCTGACAGTCTTCACTTTGGTTTTTTAACACACACACAGAGCCATATAAGAGGTAGGGGGGCAGGTAGCTGGTTGGTCATCTCGGCACTTTTAATGCGCTTTGCTCAGAGACACTGTACCTTTTTAGGTTCAAGACCTACAAAGCAATCCTGAGCATGTTTATACATAGGTTCTTGTGTACTGTGCCCAGCGAACTCGTATCTAGGATGTATCTCCTAGTATGTTTTAGGATTCCAGTATTAGCAATATGTCGATATATCCATATTGATTCATTTAATGCATCAGTTAGAAGGTAGATGAGTAGTCTGTAAGGCATGGATAGCCCTTTCGAGGGCTCTGTGCTGAAATTAGGTTATGAAGCTAAGCTCTTGTTATCCCTTGCTCAAATTAAAGCCCTGGGCAGTGTGAATCAGCTATTTTTGTGCATACAAATAGCAGAGACCTTTCTCCAGCACGTTCCAGCCATTAAACAGCCTAGTGCTTCAGATAACCACATTCATAAAATAGCAGTATCGGAGAGCAGCGTGTGACCAGTTTCCACATGCCATCGTCTCTTTCTGAGGCCTTGCTGGGTTCCGCCCAAGCACAGAAACTGCTTCGCGTTTTGCATCGCCCTCTCGGCAGGTTGATCAGGGAACAAGCTTAGCTCGGGCACCGGTCTCCCTCTAGGACCCCGGTGAAAGCTGAAAAGCGGGCAGTGGCCGGAATGCAGACCACTGCGCAATGCACGCGATTTAGAATCCAGCATCTTGGAAACCTGGGAGATCCTCAGCAGCCACACCGACGCTGGAGGGGGCGTGGAGACGCGAGCGCGTTTAGAAGCTTCGCGAGACAAATCAAAGCCCCTTGCAGCTGGAAATTTAGAGCCAGCCCTTAATTTCTTCTTCGGCTTCTTCTTGGCACACCCTTCCTACCCCCCTCCCCTTTCCCACCCGAAAAAGAGAGAGATGCGTGCGGCAGGCTTGAGAAAGAGCTATTGAGTCTGGCAGCAGACCTGAATAGCATCTCTACTCACGATTTGGATGCGGCGTTTACTTGCCGGCTTTGGATTAGAGCCGCTCGGGTAGCGACCGAGCAATAAAGAAGCCATTGCGCTTCTCTTCCCTTGCCTCCGCGCTCCCTCCAGTTTGAAGGGCGGGGGACCACGGGAGGGTTGCGGGGAAAGTTGCAACTCGCTTGGGGCAGGGAGGTGGGGTGGGAAGGGAACGCGGGGCGATGCCTTCTGAGCCAGTGCTGCTGCAGCAGCCGGGGAGAGAGGTCTTGTCTGTGGCCAGGAGGGGCAGAGCCCTTTGGGCAGCAGCACTAGTCGGGTCCGACTGAAATAGGAGGAGGAGGAGGAGGAGGAAGAGGAAGAAGAAGCGGCATCATGAAGTCTTTACTTCTCTGGGCCCCGGCGGAGCTTCTAGTCTGGGGTGAGTATTTCCTGATTTTGATAGGATTTTTAAAAAGTAATTTTGAGTTGGATAGATGTGTATGCATGCACAGAAAGGAAAACGGCTTGGAGCTGATGCACGACTAATGCAACCTGGACAAAGAAACATCCCACGGGATCCAAGGTTGCCCGAGGCATGTGAATGTAAGGGGCAATCGCAGCGTGGCTTTCCAGCGGGACAAATCCTGTGGACAGATTTGTGGGCATTTCTGTTGCTGTGGTCAGAAGCCTTGAGACGGCCTTCTAGATCCTCACTCGGAGCGTTCATCTGCTTTAGGAGATGAGTATGAGAGCAGGTTGATCTGTTGAGATGGCAAGCCCGTTCCTAAGGCATTCCTGCTAGTGGGGCTGTGTCGCGAGGGAGAGGCTGCAGAGCGAGGGGCGCACGCCTCGCGGAAACCTCTTTCATATTTAGAGCGATGGGTGGAAAGGAGGGTCATGTACTCACTTGGCCATTTTGCTTCCAATGACACCGTTTGAAAAGGCACCCCAAATGAAAGCCTATTTTCTTGAAAGCTTCAGTGTTGTGCACTGCCAACTCAGCCTTGTAATGTAGAAACTTCTACCTGTGTTTTCTGTCAGGCAGGCCTTGCTTTCTTCTAGCTTCACGCCCCTTTGGTAGTTAGCAGTGGGAGCTGTAGCTTTCATTTAAATCCGCTTGCTGTAGGAGCAAAGTAGCCTTCCTTAAAGTTTAGATCACCATTCTAAAGTACAGTGCCACCTTTTATAGTACCTTTCAAAGGCTTCAGTGTAGGGAGTATATCAAATGAATGGTTTCCATCCTGGGATACACGACACACTGTTTTTAGCTTCCTTGTGCCTCAAATAAACTGCCTAGTCAGATTGCTTTAGGAGTAAGCACCTTGCCGTTCTTTTTAAGCTTTGCAGCAGGACTGGAGAGTCAGGAAGCACCTGCGTCTGTGTCTGAGGTTTGTTTCTTTGTGGTGGGGATAGGAGAGTGTGTCCTTCTAGTCCCTTGGAGTGCCTTTTTGCTTTTCTGTCTACAGAAAGTGCAAGTGCTAGGCCGATTCCATCGTGGTGAAATGGTAGGGCTAGTTCACTTACTCTGTTGTGAGAATGGTGTCTCACTATGTAGTTGTGAGCAGCAGGGAACAACAGCATACTGGCGATTTACTGCAGTGTGTGGTCATATCGCACATGGCTTGTGTGGACAAAACTGCCTCTGCCCCCCCCCCCCTTGCACAAATGATTTATAGAAGATTACTTTTCTCTCTGCTGATTCTTCACCCACCAGACCCAGATCATCCACTGTTGACTTCACTCCGACATTTGTATAGTAAAGTTTTAGAGAACGAGTGTGGACTTTATTCACAGCAGTGATCATAATTGCTAAAAAATGTTGTGACTCAACCAGGCTTTCATTTCATGAAAGGTTAGTGAAGATTTGGAAGTGAGTTGAAATGTCAATGTTAATTCAATACACCTGTCTGAGAGATGATTTCTGGGAGCAATTGGTTCCCTTTCATCAATTTAGTGGACTTGATATAATTTGCACAGTGCTATACACATTAAATGTCCTCTATTGTGATTCACTGTTTATTATTGGATTATAAATTTCGGTATTTGTTTGCTTCTTTTTGTTTAAAGAACAAATATATGAAATTCCCTCAGAGAACACTGCAATCAGCCCTGATGTGGCATGCTTTCCGCATGCCATAGCAGAGCTGGGATTCCTGCCTACTGCTGTATTCCCCCCCCACCCCCCCAGGGATAGCATACAGAATCACTTTATACCGCATTGAGAATCTTTTTGACTTGCTGTAACCTTCTCTCCTCTCTCTGCCTTATTTTACCCCCGCAGGGTATTTTGATTGCTTATCATAAGATTTTAAATCTTCCCAGTAACATGTCATTGGATAGGGCCAACACCAAATTAGACTCTGGTTCTAAAGATTCTGATCTGGAAATTTTGCATAAGGATGGGGTATTAATTAAAGCCGATTAAGTATAGAAGTAATTATAAGTAGAATAGGTAGGCGGCCTGTACTTCTAATTTTTTATAATCTCATTGAAGATATTTAAAAATCCCTTTCCAAGACAAGGATGTTGAAAGAGAACTCATGAACAACCATACTTTACAGTTCCAGAAAGCATTGTAGTAGGGCCATTAGAAGGTTTCTTTTAAAACATGTATCTTTGGTAGCAATGGCCCTGGAAAAATGAAGGCCATCTGGTCATTCTTGGTAGTGAGGTGATTGGATTAGAACATAGCAGGTCTTCTGTTTATAGATTATTTATTTATTTCATATTTATACCAAGGCTCTCTGGGCGGTTAACAAAAGTTAAAATTAAGCAAAAGTTTGAAACACAAACACATACATTAATTTAAAAGAACAAAACCATAATAACAATGATTCAGCATAGAAGTATAGCAGTGATACAGAATAACATAGAATATATAAAAGCATAGTTAAAAAGTTAAACTGTTAAAATACTGGGAACATACAAAGGTCTTCGTTTGGTACCAAAAAGAATACAAAGTAGGTGACAGGTGTACCTCTTTGATGAGTTCATTCCAAAACCGAGGTGTCACAACCAAAAAGGCCCTCTTCCTGGTAGCCGTCTGCTTCACTTCCTTCAGCAGTCCTAGAGAAGGATCCCTGAAGATGACCTCAGGGTCCAGGTTGGTACATATGGGAGGAGGCCATCCTTCAGCTCAAATAATAACCCAAAGCCATCTAGGGCTTTGAATGTTAGTGCTAGCTCTTTGAATTGGGCCTGGACCTCAACCAGCAGCCAGTGTGGTAAGAAGAGGACTGGCATAATGTGTTCTCATTAGCCAGTCCCCATTGCTGCCCTCTTTTGGATCAGCTGAAGCTTTTGGACTGTTTTCAAAGGTAGCTCAACATAGAGCGCATTGCAGTAATCCAAACAAGAGATTACCAGAGCATGGATGACTGTAGCTATGTTCTCTCTGTCCAGATAGTTGAAGTTGGTATGTCAGCTGAAGTTGATAAAAAGTGCTGTGTGCCACAGAGTCTACCTGGGCCTCTGGGTTCAGGAACTTCCCCAAACTATGAACCTTATCCTTTAGTGGGAGTGCAGTCCCATCACCATTACATCTTACCTGCTTGCTTACATTAAAGAGCTTCTTCTACAAACTGTGATCCAATGGATATTATGATGGGAACTGCATCTAGAAGACTCAGTTTTAGTATTGCAAACTTGACTGTTAGAACTCAAGTTATCTTAAATGTCATTCCAGATATTTGAAAGTGCATTGCAGTGATGTTCTGATCCAGGAAAAGCCCTCTGCATGTGCTTCGGGACATATATTATGGGCAAAAAAGTGTGTGTGTGTGTGAGTGTATGAGAGAGAGCACAAGAGTGGGGTGGGGTGTATATTGCCAGGAGCATTGATGCAGTGCGCCAAATATCTTTCTGCGAGTTTTCTTTCAGTGAGTGCTGTATATCAATGCCCTGGACAAGTGGTAGCTGTGGCAGGTACTAGAGCAATATCCCCTACCGTAACTGTTGTTCTCTTTTTTTAAAAAAAGTTTTCTGTTATATTTTTCTTCCACCTTTCCTCCATGGAGCTCATGATTCTCTTCCTCATTATTTCATCCTCACAACTATATGAGGTAGGCTATGCGAGTGTCAGTGACTGGCCTAAAGACTTGCAATGAGTGTTATGGCTGAGTAGAGACTCAAGTTCCCATTTCCCAAATCCCAGTGCAGCTCTCTAACCACTGTACCATATTGTCTCTTCATTGTGCACAGCATAAAAATAAGTACGATTTGTGTTTAGGTATTTTAAAAGCAAACCAAAACTATGACTTGAACAGGATAAGGCACTACATACAAAGCAAATAGCTAACATAGTGGGTAGAAGATGGTTGCCATGAACAGATGGAAAAAGAGTAAGCTATCTTTAAACAATTTAAAATATAAGGAATCTCTGTTTCAAAGTCGGTAGACTTAAGATAGGGCAGAAATGGAAGACTATAGCAAGTGTTCAGTTTGCATAGTAGCTCTTTCTCTCTTTCCTTGCAAGTGACTCATAGCATGCACTTCTGTGGGGGAAAGAAGCTGAACATTAAGCCCCTTTGCGGTCCTAGATACTTACAGGGGAGGTGAAAGAAAGATCTACATTATTGTTCAGTGTTCAGTTTGTAATCAAAGAACTTGGCACTAACAGGAGTATATGCATATATTTGTTTTAATAAACCTATACCTGGGCAGTGGGGGGCATTTTCAGGTCTCTGGTGATTAGGAAGGAAACGTTGCCTGGTGGGCTGGCATCCAGGCAGCAATTGAGTGGGGCAAAGCTCAAAGTAAGGGAAGTAAAAGAGGGGAGGTACCTCCATCATGCTGCTTTTTATCATGCTATGGGTTGAATGCAATGATGACTAGTTTAGTCAAACCATTTAAAATCAAGTTTCCATGCATACAGTCGCCCATATGTACTTGCTGGTGTGATGCGAGGCTGTGGCTTTGATGTGCACAGAAGAGGCAGTCCAGGCATTAAACACAAGTTCCAGGGCTGAGCTTTGGAAGTTGGTCTGCTATGCTTTTGGCATGCTACCTCTCTAGCTTCGGTTCCTCATTTCTGACAAGGAGCTATTAATGGCTTTCATCATGGGGCTATTGTGAGAATGAATAAGAAAAAGAAATGAAAAGCACTTTTCATGCCAAAAGGACTATAGGGACAATTAACCATTTGTGGTTCTCTGTGCAGAAGCATTGCAGTTTAAAGGTATGACTTGAAAGCTCTGAGGGCTCTGAGAGGTTACTAAATTGGCTTTACATAAAAAGAAGGGTGCTTTGGCTTGGCATTATTTCGTTCACTGTTGTGTTTTTAATTGATTTCCATTATTTTTTAATTATATTTTATTTAACCTCTTTAATGTTAGCTGCCTTAAGTGCCAATTTTGGTGGGAAGGTAGAATATACATTTAAATAAAAAAATAATCTTATTCCAGTTTCGTAACTTCTTACTTCAAGTTCTTACAGTACAGC